GAAAAATGGCCATTTTTGGACCTACACCATGGGTTAACCCCTTTGGAAAAATGTCAATTTTTCGACTTTTTGAACTTCTTATTTTTATAGGCTAAAAAGGCGTTTTTTCATTGTAGAATATCGCAGAGGACATTTTCCTGGCCTATATTGCCTAAAAAAAAACATGTTGGAAAAATGGCCATTTTTGGATCTAAACCATGGTTTAAACCCCTTTTGAAAAAATTTCAGTTTTTCCACTTTTTAAATTTCTTGTTTTTATAGCCTAGAAAGGCGTTTTTTCGTTCTAGAATATGGTAAAAGACATTTTCATGGTCTATATTGTCTAAAAAAAAGTTGGAAAAATGGCAATTTTTGGACCAAAACCATGGGTTAACCCCTTCGGAAAAATGTCAATTTTTTGGACTTTTTGAACTTCTTGTTTTTATAGCCTAGAAAGGCGTTTTTTCGTTCTAGAATATCGTTAAAGACATTTTCCTGACCTATATTTCCTAAAAAAAAAAAAGTTGAAAAATGGCCATTTTTGGTCCAAAACCTTGGGTTAACTCCTTTGGGAAAATGTCAATTTTTCGACTTTTTTAACTTCTTGTTTTTATAGCCTAGAAAGGCTTTTTTTTTATTGTAGAATATCCTACTAGACATTTTCCTGGCCTACATTGCCTAACAAAAAAAATGTTGGAAAAATGGCCATTTTTGGACCAAAACCATGGGTTAACCCCTTTGGGAAAATGTCAGTTTTTCGACTTTTTGAAGTTTTTGTTTTTATAGCCTAGAAAGGCGTTTTTTCGTTCTAGAATATCGTAAAAGACATTTTCCTGTTTTTTTCATTGTAGAATATTGTAAAAGACATTTTCCTGGTCTATATTGCCTAAACAAAAAAAGTTGGAAAAATGACCATTTTTGGACCAAAACCATTGGTTAACCCCGTTGGAAAAATGTCAGTTTTTCGACTTTTGGAGTTCTTGTTTTTAAAGCCTAGAAAGGCGTTTTTTCGTTGAAGAATATCGTAAAAGACTCTTTCCCGACCTATATTGCCCTAAAAAAAAAAGTTGGAAAAATAACCATTTTTGGACCAAAACCATGGGTTAACCCCTTTGGAAAAATGTCAGTTTTTCGACTTTTTGGAGTTCTTGTTTTTAAAGCCTAGAAAAGCGTTTTTTCGTTGAAGAATATCGTAAAAGACATTTTCATGGTCTATATTGCCTAAAAAAAAAAAAGTTGGAAAAATGGCCATTTTTGAACCAAATCATGGGTTAACCTCTTTGGAAAAATGTCAATTTTTCGACTTTTTGAACGTTTTATTGTTAAAGACTAGAAAGGCGTTATTTTATTGTAGAATATCCTACAAGACATTTTCCTCGCCTATATTGCCTAACAAAAAAAATGTTGGAAAAATGTCTATTTTTGGACCAAAACTATGGGTTAACCCCTTTGGAAAAATGTCAGTTTATCGACTTTTTGAACTTATTGTTTTTATAGCCTAGTAAGGCGTTTTTTCGTTCTAGAATATCGTAAAAGACATTTCCCTGACCTATATTGCCTTAAAAAAAAGAGTTGAAAAAATGGCCATTTTTGGACCAAAACCATGGGTTAACCCCGTTGGAAAAATGTCAATTTTTCGACTTTTTAAACTTGTTGTTTTTATATTCTAGAAAGGCGTTTTTTCATTGTAGAATATCGTAAAAGACATTTTCTTGCTCTAAATTGCCTAAAACAAAAGAGTTGGAAAAATGGCCATTTTTGGACCAAAACCTTGGGTTAACCCCTTTGGAAAAATGTCAATTTTTCGACTTCTGGACTTTGTTTTTTTTCGTTCTAGAATATCGTAAAAGACATTTTCCTTGCCTATATTGCCTTAAAAAAAAAAAGTTGAAAAAATGGCCATTTTTGGATTAAAACCATGGATTAACCCCTTTGGAAAAATGTCAGTTTTTCGACTTTTTGAACTTCTTGTTTTTATAGCCTAGAAAGGCGTTTTTTCGTTCTAGAATATCGTAAAAGATATTTTCCTGGCCTATATTGTCTAAAAAAGAAGGTGGAAAAAATGGCCAAATTTGGACCAAAACCATGGGTTAACCCCTTTGGAAAAACGTTAATTTTTCAACTTTTTGAACTTCTTGTTTTTATAGCCTAGTAAAGAGTTTTTTCGTTGTAGAATATCGTAAAAGACATTTTCATGGTGTATATTGCCTAAAAAAAAGAAAGTTGGAAAAAATGGCCATTTTTGGACCAAAACCATGGGTTAACCCCTTTGGAAAAATCTTAATTTTTCGTCGGTTTGAACTTCTTGTTTTTATAGCCTAAGAAGGCGTTTTTTCATTCTATACTATCGTAAAACATGTTTTTCTGGTCTATATTGCCGGAAATGAAAAGATGGAAAAATGGCCAATTTTTGACCAAAACCTTGGACTAACCCCTTTAGAAAAATCTCAGTTTTTTGACTTTTTGAACTTCTTGTTTATATAGCCTAGAAAGGCGTTTTTTTGTTCTAATTTATCGTAAAAGACGTTTTTCTGGCCTATATTACCAAAAAAACATAGAAAAATGGCTAATTTTTTACCAAAACCATGGACTAACCCCTTTGGAAAAATCTCAATTTTTCGACTTTTTGAACATCTTGTTTTTATAGCCTAAAAAGGCGTTTTTTTCATTCTATACCATCATAAAACACGTTTTTCTGGCTTATATTGCCGGAAATAAAAGGATGGAAAAATGGCCAATTTTTGACAAAAATCATGGACTAACCCCTTTAGAAAAATCTCAGTTTTTTGACTTTTTGAACTTTTTGTTTTTATAGCCTAGAAAGGCGTTTTTTCGTTCTAATTTATCGTAAAAGACATTTTTCTGGCCTATATTACCAAAAAAACATAGAAAAATGGCTAATTTTTGACCAAAAGCATGGACTAACCCCCTTGGAAAAATCTTAATTTTTCGAGTTTTTGAACTTCTTGTTTTTATAGCCTAAAAAGGCGTTTTTTCATTCTATACTATCATAAAACACGTTTTTCTGGCGTATATTGCCGGAAAGAAAAAGATTGAAAAATGGTCAATTTTTGAGCAAAACCATGGAAAAATCTCATTTTTTCGACTAATTAAACTTCTGGCTTTTATATCCTAGAAAGGCGTTTTTTTGTTCTAGAATATCTTAAAAGACATTTTTCTGGCCTAGATTACCAAAAATAAAAACAAGGAAATATGGCTAATTTTTGACCAAAACCATGGACTAACCCCTTTGGAAAAATCTTAATTTTTCGAGTTTTTGAACTTCTTGTTTTTATAGCCTAAAAAGGCGTTTTTTCATTCTATACTATCATAAAACACGTTTTTTCTGGTGTATATTGCCGGAAAGAAAAAGATTGAAAAATGGTCAATTTTTGACCAAAACCATGTAAAAATCTCATTTTTTCGACTAATTAAACTTCTGGCTTTTATATCCTAGAAAGGCGTTTTTTTGTTCTAGAATATC